CAGGTGAACATAGACGAAACGGAGGTTATGAAAATACCGAACAACAACAACAACAGCAGCAGCAACATCCAGCGCCAATCACCATCAACGGGAGGGATTTGAAAGAGGTTACTTCATTCACTTATCTAGGGAGCATTGTCTCAACTACAGGAGGAACGGACGAAGATGTCAAATCGAGAATCGGAAAGGCGAGAAACACATTCATCAACCTAAAACCAATCTGGAAATCTTCGTCACTCAGCCTGCATCAACAACAAAATTTGGATTTTCGATACAAACTTCAAGTCATTTCTTCTAAACGGATAAGAAACTTGGCAGGTCACAAGGAATATTTCCAACAGCCTGTTGCAGACCTTTATCAACAACTGTCTTCGCTCTATACTGAAGATCAGATGGCCGGAATGAATCACAAACAAGAAGCTATGGGAACAAACGAAACAGGAACCAATCGCCCAACAAATATGCAGGAGAAAGTGGAGATGGATTGGACACTCGCTGAGGAGATCACTGGGTGACATCACGCGTCAGTCCCTCAAATGGAACCCGAAAGGGAAGTGGCGAATGGGACGTCCAATGGTGACATGGAGGAGATCGTTTGAAGAAGAGTTGAAACAGTATGTACTAACATGGATGCAAGTGGAAAGTACAGCAGAAGACAGAAGCAAGTGGAGACGTGCAGTTGAATCCCTATGTTTCACAAGGAACTCAAGGGAATAATAGTAATATTAAACTGAAACCATTAATGTAGATAGAGGAACTAGAAAATGCCTGAAGTCGTGAAACACTGTGTGTGTCGATGTGATTGTCATTTTAAATTCACCATGCTTGACAGTCCCACGTATTGTGAACAGGTTTTTTAACACCACTTTGTGTATTTTAAGGTGTTTGTACATTTATTCTTTTTCCTCATTTATAATAGTGTATTGATCTTACTGTAATTTTCATCCTGTCGCATTTTTCTTCCCCTTAAATATGCCTCTATAACAGACAAATTCTTTATAACCATTGCCGATATTATCACGAATTGACTCATTTCTAGTATTTTGCTAATTTCATAATCATTATTTTTTAATTTTATTCATTTGATTATCACCGATTCTTTGTTATCAAACACACCTGTTGGTTATTGAATGTTCTGCTTAGAGTGACGCTAATAGCTTTTAATTCCCTACGTCTCTGTTATCCCTTTAAGTATGTATTCGCTCCTATTTGATCTGTTAATAACCTGTTGTCATACCTTATCCAATCTCCTTCCTTGTATGCATTTCGAACATTCAACACATTTCGCTGAAGTTTCCAAATTTAACGGATCCTCCAATACCTACGTAGGTTATACGGTTGAAAAGGAATTGTCTTCCGTTTGATGGTCTTAATGTTGCCTTCTGTTATATTTCAGTCATACTTTATTGTGTATAGCTGTTAAGTTACTGAGACATTAGTATTTCACTGAGTCTATAATAAAATGTCCCGCCATAGTTTGTAATCTGAAAATACCAAGGCACTGCATTACATACAGTAACGTATGTAAGTGAACAGAAAACCAAAACAGCCTTAAGATGTAATTTAGCCCGAAATACAAAATTATCGCTAAGTTGTGTACTGTTCGCCTTAAGGCGTGCATCAGAAATAATGCAACACCAATCATGAACATACAGGAAGTGTTTATTGTCATTAACGTCTAAAACAACGCGACAAATTAAAAAGCCATGTAATTACTCATATAATTATTAGACCGCTTTAAAATTGGGCTAAGTTTCTGCACATATTATAAGCTGACCCAAAGCTTTCTTTCTCTGACATCGTAACTTTTTTTAAAATCATTCTGGGATATCTGCATGCTCAGATTTCAGAGCTAGAACCTAGTGTAACCAAAGAGCGTCTCAGGAAATTTTATCTGAAATATAGATTCTCATCTTTGAGATTAGTAATGCGTTCGACGGAGTGCTGGAATTCCAGGAAGATTCATAAACTTGCTAGCTGGCAGCTATATCAAATTCTTGAACAATGCAAAAACAACAAAGTGAACAGGACAACACAACGTCAATTTATCTTGTTTGTTCTTATCAGCTGCAAACAACTTAAGCAAGTTACTATATCAAAACTAAAACTTTTGCATAATCTAACTAAACAGTTAGATGATATCAACCACTATTATTACGCAATACAATCCACTAGTAGTTAAAAGGAAAGAAAGACAGGTGTCAGTAAGCTTATTAAGATATATGTATAAAAGGTACATGAATGTTCCAGGCTCGAAAGCGGGAGCTGGATGCTAATTAGGTATGTAAAACGAATAATAATAATAATAACAATAATGATAATAATGAAATAAGAGGTACGTATTACGACAGCAATTTTCAACTTGATGTGAAAGATTAATGTAAACCACAGGGGTATAGAGATAAAATAATAAAGGATTAGAAACACATTCATTAAGTATGTGACGCAGTTTGTCACACCTTTCTTCGTTAGGAGCTATTTTACATGTTACAGAACTATTTTTCTAATCTCCTATTATTCTACTCCATTACACCTGTAAGCTTTCATATCAAGTTGAAAATTATTGTTCCCTTTAATCTTAGTGCTCTTACGTAACATGTGCTTCTTATTCCATTATTATTATTATTCCTTTTATACCTAACTCATGTTTCGCTTCCGCTTTTGAGCCTGGAGCATTCATGTGACTTTTCCATACATTCTAACAAGCTTATTGATACGTGCATTCCTTTACATTTTAAATTCTCGTGTATTCCACTAACTAATAATAGTGTAGAACTTGGGCACTGTGGCAGAATGTAATTCCATTTAGATAAGTTAATTTTAAATATGATGCACTGATACAGTACTAACAACTCGATGACGTTTTGAGCATAAAATATTGCTAATAATCATGTCAGTTTACTCACAGCTTCATAATTTGTCTTATATATGTATTTTCCCTCCCTCTCTTCTTGTTATATGCTGCAATTCTCCACATCTTTTCTGTGGGCGTTGCACCATTTCAACTGCACGTGTGTGGTGTTGAATCGATAAACAGAGATTCAGTGATTAGCCTCTTTCTCTTTCTCTCCGCATAACTATTACTTTTTAATACCTTCACCGTGTTCCACCCAATTTTGTGATTACATGCAAGTGAATGCAGTGCAGTGGCTGAGCTTCTTTCTAGGTTATTTAACTTAGCAGGGTCAATCATACTAGGTCTAGCTAAATTTTTATATTCCAATAAACTAGTTGACCTAGATCTAGTAGTTTGACATGAGTAATTGATCTGGCAGTCATTACATGGTATTTGGTAAATCATAGTATTTTTCTTAATTGGGTCCTTAAGCATACAAAGTTTATCTCTGAGTGAGCTGGGTGGTTTAAATGCCACCCTGACTAATTCTAGCCTCATTGGAAATCCTACTTAAGGCCTCTGATGTTCCTTTTTTATGCTACATCACTGTGTGTTGTTCCAAATAAACTTCTAACAATTTTAATTTTGACATGGTAACTGACTTAAGCTGCTTGCAGTTAATAATAACAAACGAAATAAATTCACATCGTGTTATTCTGATCAATTTGTTCTTGCTTTGTTCAAGTTCATCGGGGGACTGAATTGTACAATGCATCAGAGTCTTTTGGAGACTTTTTCCACAACAAGGATATTTAATAACCTCAGTCAAAAGTGTAAACTGCTCTTTCTTTATCAACATCTCAGAAATAAAGCCTTCACAGATAGTAAAAAGCTTCTGCCTCAGTAATTTGTATAAAGCAATAAGAAGACGTAATTTGTCTGAATCGTGTAATGTATTTGCGCAACGCATTTCGAACAATCTGATCACACACGGACATGTCATAGGAACATATATGAAATTAATAAAGAGGTGAGAGGTGAGAAAATAGACTTAGGTCAAGTTAAAAGGACATATTCAAGGTCAAAATAACAATGAAGACCACTGAACCAAATAGCAGAGGTAATAGTACATCTGGTATGGTATCAAAACAAATGTGATGACGAATTGTTTTTGAACGCATAAAGGTGGCTTAAACTTTCTAATTGCCAGCTAGGGCTTCCACAAACTTTAGGATGCGCCCCAAACACGTTTTATAGATAGGTTTAAAAGATCTCTTAACGTCAATTTTATGTCCTGTCTCTATAATATGTTTCGCAACAGAAGAGCTAGGTCTCCTGTTCTCACCGTTAATAGGTTCTGAAGATTCTATTTGTTTCTGGAACCATTAAGGAATATGCTCTAAAGCCAGCCCTTACTTGCAGAGATCGATGAGTCCTCCGTATGTATGTGTGTCCACACGTACATTCCAACTGGTAAATACAGTGGGATGGGACGTCATTTTTCGCATGTTCGAAGGGCTTAGATAGATAGATTGGCTTTACATTCTCTTTTATTTTTTTCTCACCTCTTACCTCTTTATTAATTTCAAATATATTCCTATTACATGTCCGTGTGTGATCAGATTGTTCGAAATGTGTTGCGCAAATACACTACACGATTCAGACAAATTACGTCTTCTTATTGCTTTATTAGTAATTTGTATCAATGAAATTCAAAATAATTGATGAAATTTGATTAATTATCTGTTTTGTACGTTTCTCTGATTACTACCTCATATTAAACTGATCGTTCATTCTGTGGTTAAGATATGCAAAGGGTGATCTGGCAGCTGACCTGATAAAATGTCGCACTGCCTCTAAATTCTGACACTCATATATAAGTGTCATGAATACTAAGGAAAATTTGGGATACAACTGATTTTTACATTTTAAACCGTAAAAGTTCGAATAAACCTACACAACCTGCCTACAGCTGTATAGACGAGATTCGAACACAGACATTAAGTTGTTTTGTTTTTATTAAATGATGAATTCGTGAATGAAAATTTCTTAAAGAGACGATGAAAAATATTACCGAGATCAGCAACAGTCGGAAAAAAAACTAACAAATAACAACTTTATATCATTAAAAAGACAACAACAACAACAACAAAAAGAAACTTACATTACTTTGATACGTATTCTGTTTTGGTGTAGTAACTCGATCAGTTCTTCTCGTGAACACACTGTTTCAAAATTAATGAGAAAACAAAGATGTCATGTTTGTTATTTATTAGTTGGCGTGACATGTATCACAAATAAGTCTGTAAATACTGTCTAATCCCCTTGGAGAGAAAAACACATTAGTAAGAATAATAATAATAACATAAAACTAATTTTTGAGAACAACAACAAGCAGACAGTGTTGAAAATATCACAGTTTCCTTTAATTAATGAGAAAAAGTCCAAAGATCTAATTTGAAAGAAACACAGAACGAAATTGTTTATGCATATAATTACTGTTATTTAAGACTTATTAGCCAACCCTGTCTAATCTTCTAGGTGATCAGTTGTAACTAGTAAAGTTTAACCATTATTATTTTTCAAGAGTTTGTCTCTAGGGATTTGATTTGTTCCAGGTTCGATCACGGATTGTGGGCAATTGGAGCAACACTATAAGCCACCAAAGAGTACTGGACATCTGTATCCTCCTAGTCTGGGATTCAACGGTAATAGGCACCCACCACAGGGGGTTTGAACTCACGACCATGTGGTTACAAGTCAAGCTTGTGGACTATTGAGCCACTGGGACCCGAATCTATGACCAACCCATGAATTCTAACTTCCACCAATTAATGATTTTAGCGTTAAAATGGTTTACGAGCTTCCCTAGTAACCTGAAGGTCGTCGGTTCAAACCTCTGTGGTGAGTGTGTACTGCCGATAAGTCCCAAACCAGGACGAGACAGATATCCACCACTCTCTGGTGGTTTTCACTGGTCCTTTAACCGATATCAATCAGTGACCAAGCTTGTAAACCTTTTTATGCCTGAAATCACAAAATTAAATCTTGGAGTAAAACTAAGTCCCCCGAAGTTGCTTTTAACTTCTGGCTACTTAATGGTTACAATTGCAAAACAAGTATTCACGATCTTATGCACAAAGGTTCTGCATTAACAATACAGGTGTATCAGTGCCAGACATTATGCTCTCTGAATCTTGCACAATCTTTTCCTGTCAAGTATGTTATGTCAACTTCATTCAAAGACTACATGGCAATGCCATGTGTCAGATGGTCCACAAGGGAAATTTCATTGCAGCCAATGAAGTGAAGACAGTAATAATACAAGGCTGCCTACCATCACCGATGAATATTCCTAACTGTGATGGACAAGATTATCCTAAAGGCAGGGAGGAGCGAGAAGACGGTGATAAGTTGAAGTGATAAGAAGACTCTAGAAGAACTGAGTTTCGCGGATGATTTATGTCTAGTGCCACACGAACACGAAGACTCACAGGAGAAGACCAAACCGTTGGTCGAAGAACCAACCACGAAAGACGCGACTTCAAGAGAACACAGACAAGACGAAAGTAATCAAGATAACAAACCAAAAAACCAACAACAACAACCACCAATCGACAACAACGGAAGAAATTTGAACGAGATCACTTACTTCACTATTCCACGCAGCATCCTCCCAACTACAGGCACGTCACACAGATGCAAGGAAAGCCATGACAGATTTCCACCACTCCAAAATCACTGTGGAAATACTCTCCACTCAGAATGAAGAACGAAATAGTGATCACCAACACCAATGTTAAGCCAATCACTTATTCTACATCGCTCGGGACAGCGGAGATCGACATGGTCGGTTCGATCCACACCCTATATAGTTGCAAAATTTGGGCTACGTATCACTTGAATCCTCAAAAAATTGTGCTCTTAATTCAATTAATCCTACTCCAAAAATATGGTGGAGATATGTGGATGACACTTTCACAGTGTTAAAAACAGAACATACCTCTAGCGTCTTGACACAAATAAACTCACTAGTTAAGGGAATAAAATTCACATTTGAATCGGAAAATGAACAAGGAGAATTAGCTATGTTAGATTGTAAAATAAAACGAATAGAAGAAAGTAAACTACACACTAGCGTTTATAAAAAGTCAACGCATTCTGCTAATAGATATTTAGACTTTAATTCATCTCATCCGTTATCTATCTGTGAAGGCAGGCTTAGTTGTTGTGTCTAACAGACCGAGCAGTAGCACTAAGTGGTACGACAAAATACCTAAACGATTAAATGAAACAGACAGAAGACGCGTTGGTATCAAATAACTATCCTATAAAATTCATTAGGAAGATCGAAAAAGGCCAAAAGCAAAATAAAAATAATGCTGAAACTTATAATGATAACATAAATAAGAGAGAATATAAGGCATCTGCAGTTCTACCACATAAGGAGGGTACATCTGAGACCTTACGTAGGACTCTTAATAAAGCAGGAATAAAGCGGGTAGGATTCAAACCAACAAACTCACTCAGGGACAAGCTCTGTAGGTTAAAGGACCCTGTTGACTCAATTAGACAAAATAATATAATTTGCGAAATACCCTGCAATGACTGAGTTAGGTCAACTACAAAGGTCAAACTAGTAGATCGGAGGTAGTCAGATTGTCGGAACATAAGAATTTGGTTAAGGAAAGAATGGTTGACCCCGAGAATATAAGTAATTTAGAAAAAACCTCAGTAATTGCACTGCACGCATTAACACACAACCACACAATAGGTTGGGAGAGGGTTAATCATTTAATATTACTCTACAACAGTGTGTGGTTTATCAAAATAAAATCTTATCCCTAATGGAGTTATACTCTACCACAGTGCCCAAGTTTTATACTTATGTCAAAAATTGACAGGCGTGTGACGAAAAGAATTTCAAACAAGCTACTGAAGATTACTATCAACAGACACCTTCGTTGGCCGGCCCCACACTGAAGAGCACATGCCCACCCAACCGGTAGATCAGCCAGACAGAAAGAATTGGCAACCAGAAACTTCGTAGACGAACCAATCATCGACCGCCTGCCCAACAAATATTCCGGAGGAAATGCAGATGGATCGGACACACAAGGATGAGATCGTCGAATGACGTCGCTCACTAGGCCATCGGTCGAATGGAACCTAAATGGAAAACGACGAGTCAGGCGTGTGTGCGAGGATGAAATGTAGGCGGTAGTGTGAGAAGAAGACTGGCGCCTGTTCGCAATCGTGGGGCCAGCGAGAGAAGATTGCAGGGAACAGGACAAAGTGGAGATGTGTTGTTTCCTCCGTATATTCCACTCGGGACTAGAGGGGACAATAATAGTAGTCAAACATTCTATGGAATAATATTCAGCCTGATTATAATCAAGGAAATTAATTTTAGCGGGAAAAGCTCTAAGTATCCTTCGATTTCTGTTGACTATTTTGAAAGACCTACTGATTCAACGAGTTTATTAACTCGGCGAAATCAACAAGGACCATGACAGCTTATGGAAAACAAAATTGTTCCATCCATTTGCAGGATGCTTTAACATCTAAATCTGGTTAAACAAGATTCAGGTGATATGATAAAATGTGGAAATCAATAACGTGTATTGTCAGAATCTTGCTTAACAGTCTGTTGTCTGAAACACTGGACACTCGTTTAAAATTCCTGTGACAATAATATAATTTACTATGATACAAGTCCAATGTACTAGTTAGCGGTGAAATGTTATGTGGTTCCCAGATTTCCTGTTAATGACTACTGATTTCATTCCTCGCTTTCTGGGTCGTCCAGCTGTGCAGCAATAAACAAGTCGTGTGAGAGTACTAAAAGTGTCCATCTTTTAATAGTTGCACCAGTTAAGGTACACAGTGGTCATTACAAATGCGCATTCGCTATTCATTGTGTTATATATAATTTTGTAGACGTTTTCCTGCACATAAATTGTCACAATCACTTTCTAATCAGTTTCATGTCTTCTGAAATCGTATGCACTATTAGCAATAGATTCCTTTATATGTGACTAGTTGACGTATTTGAAATCAGTAATCATCCTACTGGCTGGGTACAATCACCTACGAACACGGAAAGGTAAACTGTGCTGAATGCATAACCTTGGTTGCATGGTTTATGCAGTGTTTTTCTATGAATATCCATGCAAATATCCGCGTTTAGGTTAAAATGATTTCAACCACTACCACACCTACTTCAGCCTGGGTATCTCCATAGTATCACAAGGCCCAAGATGATATTGAGAATGAGTCACAACCTGGTACAGACAAGATCTGTTCCAAGTAATTTGCTTCAAACGTCAGTATTTGGCTATGAATGTATGCTGAGTATGTAAAAATTTCATTGCTTATAGGAAGTATAATCCTGTTATTACAATTGATGGAATTAATTCTACTGATACAACTGCAAACGCTAGAATCCTTGACAAAAGGATATAATGTATTAACAAAGACAATAATTTAAACATTGCAAAATTTGTTTTAGTGAGACAATATATCTTATTTATCTTAAGGAAATAGAATTCGGTCTAAAATAAAAATTATTATATATTATATGTATTATTATCTGTAATTCATTAATATAGGATTTTTGTATTTCCCTATGAATGAAAAACATAACCACATTGTTTTTACTGACGTTTAGCTATTTGATGCTGATAATAGCTTGATCGAATTATTATTAAACCAGAATTTACAAAATCTCAGCTTATATATAACAACTTAATCATCATTCATCAGCGTAGGGTAATTTGTAGGTTGCCAAGTTGGTTTAGCAGTAAATAACTGCCCGAAATTATTAGCCTACAGCATTCATCACTCAACACGGGATGATGACCTTCGCTGTTCAAGTCGACTCGTTTAGCTGAAGGCTCGTCAACAGGCATCCACGCTATTTGGCACAGCTTCGTGTTGCGATTGTTCGTTTGTGTAATATCTTCAGCTAGGTTAACAATCATCCTCGCAATACGCTTTTAATCCCAAAATATATTTCTTATTTTAGACGATCGATTTGGCATTTTGATTAGCCTTTGGTCTACGCAGAACAAATATTGTGGGAGTCGTGAGTTTATAAAATTGCGTTGGTATACGTCGTACTTTCCGTAAACATCAACACTGCCTCATCTCCTAAACTGGTGAGCCTGACGTATATGACCCATCGGACAGACCTCTCGAGAAATCAAACTCAGAAGAAAGGAAC